TGGGCAGGTGGGGGGGCATAGGGTTGTTAGAGGCGGCCTGGATGCTGGTGGACCAGAGTTCAGAGCAGAGCCCAGGTCAGCCAGCTGTGCCCATTGGTTCAGACCTTCATCCCCACCCTGGCTCGGGCTCCCCCTCCATCCTCCAGGATGCAGCCTTGGGAGGGCGTGCCTGACCCTCCTTTACGGACTTCCAAGGGTGCTGTCAAGCCCTGAGGGCAGGTGCTGACTCTGTGCGGGGGACCCCTCCCTGCCCCAGAAGCGCTGCCTGCCCGGTGTTCCTGTCCTCAGGTGTGCGGCTTTAGCTCCCCCACGTCTGGGCTTTAGCTCCCCCACGTCTGGGCTGTCCTCCTGCTGCCACTGCTGGCAGGGCTGGCGTGGCTCACGTGGTGCCACTGAAGACTTGCACAGCCTCGGGGCACCAGCCTGGGACTGAACATACAGATGAGGGAACGAGGGAGGGTGGTCGAGATGATAGGCAGCCTCCTAAAGAGGGGCTGGCCGGGGTGGGGGGCGGGATTGGCCATCTTCATCTCTGCCCACCATACTCCAGCTTGCCATGCCTGGCAGGCGCTCACCAGGTGAGTGTGCGGAGACAGAGGGGTACACCCAGCCTCTGGGGGCTGGGGGGCCCATCTCAGCTCCACCTAGCCAAGCAGGCTGCCGGCCTGGGGCTCAGTCGTACTCCATTCAGACGGTGTCCTGTTGAGGGCAGAGGGCAAGCCAGCGGGTCCCCCACCCCACACGGGGCAGCCTGTGAGTTACACCTGTACTGCATGGTTCTGCGCGCCGGGCACTCCGCCCGCCCTGAGGATGGAAGACCTACGCTGGGTCTCGTGGCAGAGCGACGGCCAGGGTGTGCTTGCCAGGCTCGGGACTCCAGCCGTCCTTCATCAGCAGAGCTAACCTCGGGCCAGCCCCAGCCCTAGGCGGTGAGCTCTCTCCAAGGCTCTACAGCACTTAGTCCTTCCAGAGCCCCACCGCTGAGACCATCCCGTCTCTGTCCCGTCCCCACTGTAGAGAAGATGGGGCTCTGCCAGGTCATGCGGCCGGCAGTGGGGGAGGGGACTTGAGTGCAGGGACCTGGCGTGTGGCCTGTGCCCTTAGCCCTTGTGGATGGATTACATAGCCTCTAAAACCAGCGTCCTTTTCCTCATGAGGTGCCATGACGTTGAAAGTCGTTCCAGTGACTGTGCTTTGTAAACCGTAAAGTGCCTTACAAGTGCCGTTTGTGTTATGTCTGTGGAGTGGCCGGAAGGAAAACATGGGACTCAACAGTGGGGCGGTCTGTGGTGCTTTCCTCCCACAACCACTGTCCCCTCGTCTGAACCCTCCTGTCTCCACCCTGCGGACGGTCGGCTGGGCGCTTTCCAGACGCCAGCTCCAAAGGGGTCACTCCAGGGATGGAGAAGTAGACGAGATTCTTCTGGGGGCAACTTTCCAGAAACACATCAAGACCGCGGGGGAGGTCCAGGCAGATAAAACAGTCCTGGGGAGGAGGTGGGGTGGGCGTGGAGATCTCAGATGTGCTGGGAGACTGACCTTCTGCACAGGTGCTCTGGGGACCAGCTGCTCTTCCAGACTGTTCATGAAAGCAGCCAGACTGGGAAATCACCGACCCACGTGTTCTCATGTGAGGAGTGACGTTGAAAAAGAACAATCATTATGAACAAAATTATGCCTCAACAGCTGGTTTTCTGCCCGTGCTCTTTGCTGAAATAATCCTCTGCCATCATGGAACACCTTGGAGAACCCTCGGTCCTCCGGCTCCATGAAGACAGTAGGGTGGTGGGGGCGCCAGCTCTCCCAGTCAGCTGTGTGCTCTTGGGTTTCCTGGAACTTTCTGGACAAGGTGGAGGGGGCTGAGCACACCTGTGTTTGCCACCATGCTGGCTGTCATCCTGTGGGGCCCCCGCTCTGAATTGTGTGGGGGTTGCCCACGAGTGCGGTGGTGGCCGTGCTCCCCATGTCGCCATCGTGAGGGTCTGGGCGGGCTCCTGCAGCCTGGACCCTGTCGGAGGCGAAGCTGGGCACGGCTGGCATGCCTTTAAACGGATGACCCACCTTGCAGGGCGACTGAGCACTCGGTGACCCCGGGCAGCGGGGGAGGCCGGCCCTACCCAGCCAGCTAGCCGGGCTCTGGGAGAGGGCAGTGGTGCAGGAGGGTGACGCGGGCTTCTCCGTCTCCTGAGGCTGCCCAGCCTGGCTGCTGTGTGTGCAGTGGCATTCCAGCTGCACACCTCGGGAAGGAGCGGGAGGGACAGTGGGTTTCTCTGGAGCCCCCACCCACGTGCTGGGAGACCCCAGCAGGGTTTGGGCAGACACTGCTGCCTGCCCCTGAGGGGACTCACGGGTGCTCGAGGCTGGAAGCGCGTCAGCCTTCAGCCCTGAGTGGCGCTGAGATGCATCCCCCGCCGTCTGCGCCGCTGGGCCCACGGCCCGGATACCAGCTTGCTTGCTTTTGGTCAAAACTGACATTTTACATTTTGTCCTTTTGAATTAACTTTTAAATTCTGGAATAATCTTCCGCCTGAGTTGATAATTTTAACTCACCGTGTGCTCCCCTGTGAATTAATCACACGTTGTGCCTGCTCCCCCGATGTCCGTTGTATCCAATCTTCGTTTTCCGTTTCCTTTGCAGAGCGCCGGTCCTGGCGCTGCTGAGATGCACTATGTCCTCAAACATTAGAGGACCCCGCATCAGTGCCTGCAGTTAACTCGACATTGTTTTGTTCAGAAACCGGATTCATCCTAGATCTTGGGACAGAGATTTGTATGATGCATAATTAAACACGTCACCCCCCCAGCACCAGCCTTGGAGCGCCCCCAGCCATGGGCTGGGGCTCCTGGCAGCGCTGTGTGTCTGCTTTGCAGTGTGCGACATTGCTCTGTACGACATCTGTGACTACAACATCACCAGGGACCGCTGCAAGGAGCTCGGCTGCTGCTTTTATAAGGGCGTATGCTACGAGAAAGCCGTCCCCGGTAAGCATCCGTGCCCCCGGCCCCGTGCCGAGCAGCCACCAAGCCCCACAGGCTTCGTGCCCTCGCGGCCTCCGCTGCACCCCGGTTCCGTCACTCTGGCGAGTTAGCGGGGCGAAAGGAAGTTCACTCCTGGATGGAACTGAGCTGATACAAGAAGGGTCCTGGGAAGACCCTGGGCATGCGGGGAGGGGGCAGAAGCAGCTGGTTCGAGGTGGGGCTGGCCACCGGCTGTGCCCAAGGTCAGACCCCATGGGGCTTCTCCACAGCCCTGTCACGGTCAGCATAAAACCAGACCCCACTGAGTGCACCCTGACCCCGGGAGTCCAGGATGCACCTGGGATGGCGGGGCCGGCAGGGAGTCCCGAGCCAGGGAGGCTGTGGGAGCGGGGAGATGCCACCACCCCCAGAGTAGGGCCTGCTTCCGCTGGGGCTGGGGGATTCACAGTTGAGTGGGAGAGTTAGGTGCGGGGCAGGATACAAGCCGGGGTGCCCGGGGGGAGGGGTCTTCTAGTGACACTGTCTGGGGCTCTGCTCACACTTCAGAGCTTTGGGCCTCTCAGCCTCTAGAATTTTCTAAATTAGTATCTCCAAACCCTCACAAAATTCACTTGATGACGGATGTGTTTTCTTGCCCTGTTTGCGGCCCTTTTAGAAATGAGGGTGCCTGGCTCTAGGAGTATTTGGAGAGGAATGGTGTGTGTGGCGGGGTGGCCTACACAAGATCTTGCCAGAGAGGAGGAAGGTGCCCCACAGACAGAAACTGGCACGGGCCACGGACACTCAGCAGCTCCCATGCTGTGGGAGAACGTGTCCCGGGCCCTCCCTGTCCCAGGCCACTCTCCTCTGTCGTCACCTCCCCAGTGGATAAAGGCATGCTTGTGCCGGGAGACTGGAAAGGTTTCTTCTCTCCTCTGAGCCCCAGGTAGGCTGAGCCCTCGGAGGTGAGACGCAGAGTGACATCTCCCATTCCCGGACATGGGAAGGCCTAGGAAGTCAGAAACGTTCACGACTCGTAACTGTTCCCAAGGAGGGACTCATGGGGCTGCCTGATCCCACAGACCCCAAACGCTAAGCCAGCTCCTTGTTCAAGAAGGAAGTGACATTCTGCGTAAAAGGATCAAAGAATCCAAAGCATCCGCAGGATCCTGGCTCGCCAAGGGGGTGCATCTGTCTTGCTTTATGGTGAAGATTTGGCACTTAGGGCAAAAGAGGAGGAAGTTTGGCTTCTCAGAAGGAGGTGAAAGCAGAGGCCACAAGAAATGCCATGAAGATTTTCTGATGAGAATTTCTCATCCAGATCTTGAGCTGGAAGACTTGGGATCAGACTCTCCTTACTTCTCTCTGCCTCTGGGAGACCCGAGCAACCCTAGGATCCCACACCTTTCCCTGTACCTGTAGATGGAAACAGCTGGAAGTTACTTCTTTTTTGGTTATTTTTATTGAGATAAAATTCTCATACCATGTAACTTACCCCTTTGAATAAAGGGTACAATTCAGTGGTTTTTAGTGTATTCACAAAATTGGGCAACCATCACCACTGTCACTTCCAGAACATTTGTATTAGCCCCAAAGAAGCCCTGTACTCATCAACTGGACAATCCCCATTCCCCCCCTCCCCACCTCCAGCCCCTGGCGACCACTGATCTGGACATGTCACATTAATGGAATCATGCAATATGTGACCTTGTGTGTCTGGCTCCTTTCACATGTTTTCAGAACTCATGCATGTGGGAGCAGGTGTTAGCACTGTGTTCCTGTTTATGGCTGAGTAATATTCCATTGTAGGGATAGACCACATTTGGTTTATTCCTATGTTAGCTGATGGAAATTTGGGTTGTCCCCACTTGTTAGCTACTAGGAACACGTGGGTATAAGTTTTTGCATGAACATATGTTTTCACTTCTCTTGGGTATTTACCCAGAAGTGGAATTTCTGGATCATTTATTAAATATACTTAAAATGTTTAAAGAACTGCCAAACTATTTTCCACAGTAGCTGCACTGTTTGACAGTCTCAGCATGATTACCTGAGTTCCAATTTCTCCGGATCCTCACCAACACTAGTTGTCTGTCTTTCTGATGATAGCCACCATGATGGATATGAAGCTGTGTCCACTGTGGTTTGGATTGTATTTCTCTGATGAGTAATGATGTTGAGTACCTTTGCATGTGTATGCATTTGGCCATTTGTATGTCCTCTCTGAAGAAGTCTATTCACATTTCTGGCCCAGTTTTTAACTGGGTTAATTGTCTTTTTATTGTGGTGTTGTAAGAGCTCTATATCTCTTCTGGATAGTAGACCCTTATCAGATATGTGATTTGCAACTACTTTCTCCCAATCTGTTGGTCTCTTTTCACTTTCTTGATAGTGTCTCTTTGAAGCACAACATTTTTTAGTTTTGATGATGCCTCGTTTATCTATTTGTTCTGTGGTTGCTTGGGCTTTGGTGTCATAGCTAAGAAACCATTGTCTAATCCGAGGTCACAAAGATTTACATCTCTGTTATTTTCTTTTTCTTTTTTTTTTTTTTTTACATCTCTGTTATTTTCTAAGAGTTTTATGGTTTTAGCTTATACATTTATGGCTTTGGTCCATTTTTTTTTAAATAATTGATGGAGCATTTATTATGCAACAGACACTGTAATATGTTTTTTGCAATCCTTACAACAACCCTACAAGATAAGGAAAATGAGATTCTGAGGCTTTAACTGACTTGCTCAGGCTCTAACAACTATCAGTAGCTGAGGTAGGATCTCATGGCCCCAGCAGTCACATCAAATGTAAGTACGGTTGTGTTCCATGCATCCAGTGACAGGAACCATCTCTGTGGCCCACCTCGAGGAAGTAGAATGATCTCTGGCCCACTTTAGGGATGGGGAGATATCAGGGCAGACCTCCAGCAGCTCTTGGCCAAAGGATGATGGAATTTTGAGGCTGACGGTCTTCAATAGAGGAGACTGTAACTTTGGAGAATCCATATGAGCTGTGCTCTCTCTCTCTGCTTCCATGGGTCATCTCTTTCCTTTTGGTTCAGTGAGTCTCTTCTTAGATCCGAGCTCCCTCCTTCTGGTTGACTTTGGGTCTGACTTTACTCAGGATCTGGTTTTTTGTTGTTGTCATTTTTATGAAGACATTGTCCTTCCTGGTGAGTACTCTTCTGCTTTCTGAACCTCTGGTTTTGAGTAATGGTATCCCAATCTGTTAAAATTTCTCAGGGGGGGGTCCTCCTTCTGGGACCCTGGCTGGTTTTACATTTAAAAATTACAGTTCCTTGTGCTATGGTGAGCACTGTGAATTGTGCAAGACTGTTGAATCACAGATCTGTACCTCTTCCAGAAAGTGGTCGCTTTTCTGTTCAGAGAGTTGCTGCCATTCTTTTCTTGGATCTCCTGTTGAGTTCGTAGGTGTTCAGAATTGTTTGATCCCTATCTAGCTGAATTCCTGGGACCAGACAAGATTTAGGTCTCCTACTCCTCTGCCATCTTGCTCCTCCTCTGCCTTTGGTCCATTTTGACTCAATTTTTTTTTCCCACGGTGTGAGGCAGGGATCCAATTTCATTCTTTTCCATCTAGATATCCAGGTATTCTAGCAGCATTTGTTGAAAAGACTATGCTTTCTCCATTGAATTGCTTTGCCATCCTTGTCTAAAATCAATTGCCCATAAATGTGAGGGTTTATTTCTGGGCTGTCAGTTTTATTCCACTAAGCCAGTACCACACCACTTTGATTACTATAGCTTTAGGATAAATGTTGAAATTGAAAAGCATGACTTCTCCAATTTTGTTCTTCTTTTTCAAGATTGTTTTGGTTACTATGGGTTCTTTGCATTTCCATATTAATTTAGGACCAGCTTGTCAATTTCTGGAAAAAAAAATGCCATCTGAGATGTTGATAGGGATTGTGTTGAATCTATAGATAACTTGGGGGTGGGATATTGCCATTTTAATAATGTTAAGTATTCCAACCCATGAACAAGGGATATCTGTCCATTTATGTAGGTCATCTTTAATTTCTCTCTGCAATATTTTGTAGTTTTCCATGTACCAATCTTGCCTTTCTTTTGTTAAATTTATTCCTAGGTATTTTATTCTCTCCTGATGTTATTATAAATGGGTATATCTCCTTAATTTGATTTTCAGATTGTATATAGAATCCTAGGTATAGACACAAGACAATTGAAAGGTTGCTAGAATATAGAAATGCAATTGATTTTTTGTATTGTGATCTTGTATCCTGCCACCTTCTTGGACTTGTGTATTAGTTCTTCTCATTTATAGTTGATTACTTAGGATTTTCTGGATACAAGAGTATATCATCTGCAAATAGAGATTTTTTACTTCTTTCTTTCCAATATAGTTGGTTTGATTTCATTTTCTTGCTTAATTGCCCTGGCTGGAAACTCTAGTACATGAGGAATAGAACCAATGAGAATGGACATCCTCATCTGGTTCCTGATCTTAGGGGGATGTTTTCAGTGTTTCATCCATAAGTATGATGGTAGCTATGGGTTTTACCAAAGGTCAGGTTGAGTAAGTTCCCTTCTTTTCCTAGTTTCTTGAGTGTTTTTATTATGAAGGGATGTTGGATTTTATCAAATGCTTTTTCTGCATCTATTGGGTACCTTAGTGATGCTCTTTATTACTCATGTGGATTTGAGTTACTGTCTAGTATCCTACCCTTTCATCCTGAAGGACTCCCTTTTAGTATTTCTTGTAAGGCCGGTCTGCTAGTGATGAATTCTCTCAGTTTCTGTTTGGGAATGTCTTAATTAGTCCATTTTTGGAAGATAGAGTCACAGTATATAAAATTCCTGATTAGCAGTCTTTTTCTGTCAACACTTTGAATATTTCATCATCTTGCCTCTGGCCTCCATGGTTTCTGATGGGGAATCTGCTGTTAATCTTTAGGTTTCTTTATATATATCATGTTGCCTCTCTTCTGTTTTCCAGATTCTCTGTCTTTTGACTGTTTATTATGTATCTAGGGGTGGATCTCTTTG